TTCTCGACAGTCCCATTCAGCCACGGAGTGTAGACTGGCACGGATCTTTGATGGGCGCCCAATCTGGTCCGTAAATCCTCCATCACTGTGTTGCGGAAATGAGACCCATTGTCTGAGACCCGGGTCTGCAAGAGCCCAAACCTCTTGTACCAATCTAACACCGCGGATGCCGCCAGTAGCCCATTGGCACTCTCGCTTGTAACAAGTTCACAATAATTTGAGAGGTCATCTTTCATGACCAGCACATACTTGGCGCTGCCGTAACTTCTCCCATGTATAACAAGTCCACGTGGAGAAGTTCGTTTCTTTGAGTAGCTGTTTGTGTGGAATTCCATGGGCGATGAATGAGCATGCCTCCTTTTACATGCTTACACAATAGGCAACGGCTCACGAATTCCTCGACTTTGGACCGCAGAATTTCAATTGCAAACTCGCGATTAAACACCAAGAACATGGCATCTGCCCCACGGTGAGCGCGAACACCACAATGTGTAACCGTGAAGATACGCGCCACAAGTTCTTCCGACTCTAGAGGAATCCACACTTTGCTTTCTTTCAAATACAGGCCGTTATCCTCAAGTTCGAGACCATCGATCGGGTCCTTCTTCTGCGCCGACATGATGTGTACATCACTTGGCCATACGAACCAATCGTCTTGGAGAGGCCGCAGCTGTGACACGGTGCCTTATTCATCCACACGAGCAACTCGAACACAGATCTCTGGCGGGTGATTGGTGGTGATTGGCGACGTCCATCTTAAAACAATATCAGCCCAGACATTCCTCACATTCTCAATGTGTTCGATAGTGAATCTCATGTTTGAAATCCGTACAGCCCATCGCAGGAGTTTGCCACGCGTGTGGTTCTTGATATCGTCGGTAGGACTGAAAATTTGCACCAGAATCTTGTGATCACAGTAGACCTGGAAACCTCCTTCTCTCTACAAGAGATAATCCAGCGAGACGCAGGCTCGAACCACAGGGTAGGCTTCCTTTCTCGACTACAGACCAGTGTAGTTGCGCTCCTCTGAAGATCCCGCCGTGACAAATCAACAGCTCATGATCTTGGTCAGTCGGATGACTGGCTTATTTCCACTGGCGCACTTGAGTGACAACAACTGCCCGTACCATCAGATGCATCCATAAACAGACACACTGTGGCCTTCCATTCCGGATAGTATTGCTTAGCCGACGATGCAATTGAGCAAAGAGTAGCATTATACGCTGCACGTTCATCATCAAGCCATTGAAGTTGAACCGCAGCTGCTGATCCCTTCGTACGACTACGATTCGCGAGCGCTTCATTCAACTTGTCTTGAAGCACTTCAGTCACTCTAGCATAATCCACCACACTCTCAAGAATGTAATTGCACGTGCAAATGAACCGTGGAAGATCTGCTGCCGTTCTTGGCAGTGGCAGTGCCACCAATGCTGAGAGACGGTCTGGGTCATGGCGTACACCTTCCCCATCAAGGATA